AATATCTTTACACCGGAAGTATAAAGTGAAAAGTAAATAAAAGCCCACCAAAAAGTATAAGGTGAAAAGTAAACATAAAACCATAAAAAGTGAAAAGTAAATAAAAAACGTCTTGTTAAGAATTGCCTTATGGAGAAAAAAATTGATGTTTTGGGGTGGCCGGCCCAATCCCCGGATCTCAATCCTATTGAGAACTTGTGGAGTGATATTGAGAACCATATTCGATACGAAAAACCCGCCAATTTAACTGAATTGTGGTCTGTAATCCAAGAAGGATGGTACAACATTCCCCAGCAGCGATGTGCGGCCTTGGTGGAGAGCATGGCGCGCAGGTGCGATGCTGTCATCAAAAATCATGGATATCCAACTAAATACTACGTTTTTTTGAGAAAAATCCCCTTTTGTTACGTTGTAAATAAATTTTTTTCCAAGTGTGCTAAACTTGTGACCAGCCTATTTCGCATGTTGTTTCACTAAAAGGAGTGCCAAAAAGGAACGGTAAAAGCTAGAGCGCCGATATTGAGAGGGAATGTTGGTCTAATTATAGATCAAATTTACGTAAAGAGAGAGAGGCGAAAAGGCAAGCGGTTCAGGAGATATCCTTAAGAGAAAATGCACCATGCATGGTGTGCTAAACTTGTGGCCACCACTGTATACATTTGAAGGCAAGGATTTAAAGAAAATGTTATTTGTGTTGGTAACTGTAATACAATTTCTGTTTTTGTTAAATTTTGAATTGGACCAAGTCTCCATCAACCGCCAACGCCGCATATTTACTTTTAAAGGCAAGGATCTAAAAAAATGTATTTGTTAATAAATATTTCATATTTAACGCCTTTCGCAGCAAAACTAAAGTATCTTCTTGTTTGATATTTTTTGCCAAATAGAAGCACCATGCAAAAGCAATGGCATCGAATTTTCTTTTTCTTTCGCCAACTGAGATGCCACCTTACGCTTTAATCGTGGTCCTGCCTCATTAGAAGTTAGGCATTTGCGACGAGGTTTGTCGCTTGGCAAGCCCTTTTCCAAAAATAAAATTTTAATGTTCGACGAAAGCCACAGGGAATGTTTTTCCTTGAATCGGTCTATTATTCTATGACATTTTAACAAATTACGACCAAGAAAGGCAACAATATGCTTAATTTTTTCACATTGAACAAATGAATAAAAAAACACATATAATAAACATTCAGTGTTTATAATTTATTTAACAATCCTTCACTCTTTGTATCCATATTTAATCTTTTTTGGTTGGCTTACAATAGCCAAAGAAATCGAGGTGCAAAAACTACAAAGTTTTTCGTCCCTTTTTTGTAAACGTGTGACCCTATTTCAAACTTTCGAATATCTTAAGAAAAAAACAAGAGAGAACGCTGTACTCGGGTTGGTGTTCCGACTAATAATCGTAACTCAGCTAAAGGGAGTGCGAGGGAGATAGATATATAAATTTTGATTGCGTATAATTTTTTAATGAATGGTCCGATTTGAAAAATGTCTTCTGCATTTCGATAGGTTTAAATATACACAACAAAATTGCATTTATACTTCTCGGAAATCTTTAAAGATGTGGGCGCAGGACCCATTTTAAAATCGTTAGTGGGCGATTGTGGGCGTTAGAGGGGGCGTGGCGCTCGGCTAAAATAAACTTGCGCTGCGTAGGAAGCCAAAGAATATGTGTGGGAAATCTCAACCTTCTAGCTTTTGTAGTTTCTGAGATCTCAGCGTTCATACAGACGGACAGACGGACAGACGGACAAACGGACAGACGGACAGACGGACAGACAGACAGACGGACAGACTAGATCGACTCGGCTAGTGCCCCTGATCAAGAATATATATACTTTATGGGGTCGGAAACGCTTCCTTCAAAAGTGTCACATTGACACCTAAATAGGGGCATATTGATGACTATTTTTTTTGGGTGCAGCACTTCCACTCTTCTGCATCTTGGCCTCGTTATGATATTTGAGGCTGTCACGGGGGGACTTCCACGCCATCTTGCAACTTTCATCTAAACATATCAGTTATCAAATAAAAACAGCTCTTAACGAGGTAAAAAACTAGTGACGATCGCACCTTCAACGTACAAAAGTTCTGATATCAACTTTTGTGACGAAAAATGATTTTAGATGCGACTAAATAAGTACGCTACCTAAAATTTACTCGTTCGGCCCGCTTTAGCAAATATTTAATATCTATACGAAAGTTTTCTGTTGTAGCGTGCCGAATGAATAAATTTTTGGTAGCGTACTTATTTAGTCGCATCTAAAATCATTTTTCGTCACAAAAGTTGATATCAGAACTTTTGTACGTTGTAGTTTTTATACCCTTGCAGAGGGTATTATAATTTAAGTCAGAAGTTTGCAACGCAGTGATGGAGACGTTTCCAACCCCATAAAGTATATATATTCTTGATCAGCATCACTAGACGAGTCGATCTAGCCATGTCCGTCTGTCCGCCCGTCTGTCCGTCCGTTTCTACGCAAACTAGTCTCTCAGTTTTAAAGCTATCGGGATGAAACTTTTCGTAAAAGTCGTATTTCTATTGCAGGTAGTATATGTATATGTCGGAACCGACTGGATCGGACAACTATATCTTATAGCTCCCATAGGAAGGATCGAAAAAAAAAACGTAAAAAAAATATAGCTTCGATGTTTTTTGAAATATTACCTTCTACTCTTGGGAGTATTTTTTAAATTTCTGAATTTCGATTTTTTTTTTGTTTTAATCGCATCACTATATCATATAGCTGCCATAGGAACGAACGGAAAATAAATATGACATTAATAGGAAACAAATTATAGCTTTGTTGGTTTTTATTGTATCCTCTTCTACTCCGGGATATGACACTTTTTTTATATTTCAGAATTTGGAATTAATTTTTTCAATTATAATCGGACGATTATACAGCCACCATAGGAACGATCGGAAATTTAAATAGCTTCTAGGAATAGAAAATTATAGATTTGGTGTTTTTGACATATTATCTTATACTATTCGGGATATAATTTTTTGTATTTTAAAGAATTTCCAATTCAATTTAATAAAAGTCGGATGACCCTATCAAATAAATGTCAAAGAAACGGTTAAAAAATAACAAAATTAGAATTACGAATCATATTTTATAAAAAATCTATCGACTATATTATTATGCTGAATGGGGTGGTGTCAGGTGTCGAATGGAACCGGTGTACACGTGTCCAAATTTTAAGGTAGACCACCTACAGTCAGAAAAAAAATCGCCCTGAATTTTAGAAAATCGCCATACTTTTTAAGCCAAAGGCAGCTCGCCTTGCCTTTTAGAAAAAATATTTCTAAAAATTAGAAAAAAAATTTCTTAAATGTAGGGTTAGTTTTTGCAAAATTGAATAAGAAGAAGAAAAAAAAAAATCGGGGAATCGGGAGTTATGCCGACTCCACCCCTCTGTCGGTGTGGGGTGTTGTTGTTGGGGTTCTCGTTTCTCAACTTATTTTTCTCTTCTCTATTTAAACACATGGATGACGTCACGATGCTTGTACACAAGCACACTTTTAATCTTAAATTGTAACTGAAATAATAACTGAAATTATTATATTATTTATTAATGATAAACATAAAAATCAAATAACTTACTATCTTGAGAAAAACATTTTGGTCGCTCGCGGGATTCGAACCCCTTACCTCACAGTTTGCAGTCAAACACTCTACTAGCTGCGCCAGGGAAGCATCGCGAGAGGCGCTGTACAAAGTACATTCTCATTCTGTTCTCTTGGGTTATAGGTTTATAGTCTTATTTATCCATTATGTGTGTGTTAGTTTACCTAAATCCTTATTTGTATTAAAGTATACATATTAATGCGCTAAAAAAAAAAAAAAGACGCAAAAAATGTCCGCCTCGACGTGGGATCGAACACACGCTTCCGAATATAAGCGTAGAAAACAAATAATCCGCTCGCATTAGACCCCTAGGCTACCGAATGGGCCAATTTCCTAAAATGTAAGGCGATTTTTTCTTAGTTTGAAAGAAAAATTTCTGAATAACAGAAAATTTTTCTAAAAGTGGATAACAAGAGGAGTTGATTTAATCAGGGTACGTTTTTCTTATTATTTAGAAAAATATTTTTGAAAAATAGAAATATTTTCTGAATTTCAAGGCGATTTTCAAAGTATGGCGATTTTCTAAAATTTAGGGCGATTTTTTTCTGAGTGTAGGTATACCCGTTTTTCCTATTTTAAATTACAGAAATAAACACAAAAAGGTTGACACGAACCTAGACAACAGGTAATAATGGAGTTATTACACAATCCTTAAAGTAGGTAATCAATCCGGTTTACCTAATTCACCTAAGAATTGTCCCTAAAATCGGACATTGGTCGCCATCAAAAGGGTTATCCGAAGGTTGATAGCAGGTATAATCTAACCCTATATATTGACTCGTAATCCTAATCCCCGGATTAGTCTGTGAAAAACAGTTGCCGAGTGACAACGTATACCAGTATTTCTTTATTGTGCGTATGTTTTATACTCAGTTAATATCTTTACACCGGAAGTATAAAGTGAAAAGTAAATAAAAGCCCACCAAAAAGTATAAGGTGAAAAGTAAACATAAAACCATAAAAAGTGAAAAGTAAATAAAAAACCAAAAAAAGTATAAAGTGAAAGAGTGTGCAAACTGAAAATAATAAAGTATTAATATACTTTTCTTCATTTGGTAAGTATTTTTATAAAGCGAAACATGATTCATAAATTTTATTGAACCTCAAACAATTTATCAAATAATTAAAATTATCCCTTAAATTGATTAAATCTGCTGGTGAAATTCAGGTGGAATGTATATCATCAACAATAAATATTTCACCCAAATTCAGACCAAAGGGATTTTGGTGTAATTAGCAAACTAAAACAAGTTTAAGCATTTATAAAATTGTCTGAGGTTTTTAAAGTTTTATAAAAGTAATCATAATATTTATCATAACCCCTTACTTTATACATTTATTTTTAACAGCAAAATAAAGAGAATGCCGCGCGTATCTTCTTTATCTCAAGAGCAGCGCCGCCAAGCTGCAGTTAGACGAAGCCGATCCCAATATGCTCAAAATGCGTCTGAAATAAGGACCCGCAATGCGCAGCACATTGCCTTGGCCCGCGCAAGTAATTTAGAGGTAGCAGAAGTAGCTCGCTCGCAAAATTCCGCTGCTCGCTCTCAAAGAAGGAGAAGTGAAAGGATTCGAGCCAGCGAACGATTGAGGAATACTGCCAATCGCGCTACCTGGAGATCGATCGAGGAAAATCGAGGACCGGAACGCGCACGGGACGCTGCAGCCCACTCCAGCGCCAGGTCGAATTCGGAAGATCGACGACGACATCAGGTGCAAAATACTGCTGACCATGCTACCTGGAGATCGATCGAGGCGAATCGGGGTCCCGAACGCGTTCGGGATGCTGCTGCTCGCGCAATAGTTGGGTCGGATTCCGAGGAGCGACGACGAGAGCAGTCGCGAAATACTGCTGACCATGCTACCTGTAGATCGACAGAGGAAAATCGAGGAACCGAGCGCGCACGGGACGCTGCAGCCCACGCCAGGGTCAGGTCGAATTCGGAAGAGCGACGACGACAGCAAGTGCAGAATACTGCAGCGCACGCAATCACCAGGTCGGATTCCGAGGAGCGACGACGACAGCAGGTGCAAAATACTGCTGACCATGCTACCTGGAGATCGATCGACGAGAATCGAGGTCCCGAACGCGTTCGGGACGCTGCAGCTCACAGGATCACAAGGAACAACCCCATCGCTAGGACACAGCAGCAAAGGACCAACACAGTGCATCATCGGGAAACTCGTCTTCAGAGGAGACTTCGGGAGCAGCAAATTCAGGAAATGGCTGAGGAGCGACTATTGACTTATAGGTCCAATTCACAAAATCGACAGGCGGAATCTTCAAGGCAGTCACAGCGCAATATTGCTGCAACAGCACAACTTTCGGAGGATGAACGAGAGGATCAACGGAAACGCCAGCGACGGAGGAGTCGAGCTACTGCGAGGGAACAATATCTACGTAACATTAAGGACGGACCAACAAAGTTTTATACGTGCTGTGGAGGAACGTGGCTTCCATCTCAGGTAAGTGGTTTGAACATACGTACTATTTCTTCTAAGTACCCCAACCTTAGTGTAGACAATGCCTTCTATTTAAGTAGAAAGTTTCCGAGTCCGTCCGGCAAATATCAATTTTGCAGCACATGCCGCCAAGGCGTTTCAAAAGGTAGGATACCATCCCTTTGTCTCTCGAATGGCTTCGACTTTCCAGAGATACCTGAATGCCTTAAAAACTTGACATTCCTTGAAGAGCGCCTTATATCTCCTCGAATTCCTTTCATGCGCATTATATCCCTTGGATATGAGATGCAATGCGGAATAAGAGGAGCTGTATTCAATGTTCCGATTTCAGTACCTGATACTGTAAACGCACTCCCGCGCACCTTTGATTCGACTCATGTGATCCAGGTTCACCTGAAAAGAAAGTTAGAATATTCCCATAATTTCATGACCGAAACTATTCGACCCGCTCGGGTCATTGAAGCTGTGCGATACTTGGTTAGCACTGAGCTCTACAGGAAGCACAACATATCCTTTGACGGTGATTGGCTCAATCAAATGGGTGCTGAAGAAGAGATACCTTTCATCGCAGATGAATCTGACCGAGAAGTTGTAGAACAGCTTCTTCGTCAACGTTCTCATTCTCAGTCAAATGACCAACAAGAAGGAGATTTAAATCCTGGAGGTCATGAAACCCTATTGGAAAACGACGATACTGGACTTCAGCGTATTGCTATGGCCCATGGGGATGGCCGCATTCCAACAAACTTAACCCTTGACGACGACGCAGAAGAACTTTCCTTCCCGACTATTTCTTGCGGCGAAATATTTAAGGGGAATTCGACCTATGCAAAAAAAGCTAGGTCGCAAATTCGTTTTTACGACAGTCGTTGCGCAGTAGTACCCAAAGTCCTTTACATGTACAAGTTTTATGAAAAGCAGCGAATTCAAAGTTCCATTTCCGTTGCCCTACGAAAAAAATCAGGTACCGTAACTGCTGCAAATTTGAGGGATAATTCCCGTTCAGCTCCAGCCCACTGGGGGGCCGAAAAAAAGAAAGTTATAGCCATGATTAGACAATTTGGGTTGCCAACATTCTTCATAACCCTCTCTGCTGCTGAATCTAAATGGAACGAACTGCTAGTTATTCTATCTCTTTTATTGGATAACAGAGACATTAGCGAGGAGGAGGCGGCAGCTCTATCTAGCGCCGAAAAAGCTAGATTAATCCGCTCAGACCCAGTAACATGCTCCCGGTACTTTGACTACAGGTTCCGACAATTAATGAAATTGTTCAAAAGCTCAGAGATATTTGGTGAGTTAAGACTGGTCCATTATTATTGGAGGATCGAGTTCCAGCACAGAGGATCGCCGCACTCTCATGGCATGTACTGGTTTTCTGGTGCCCCAAAACTAGAAGGACCCAATAACGCCGAAGAAGTCGCCAGCTTTATAGATCGGTTTATTACTGCCAGCGGGGACGATCCTGAATTGCAAGAAGTAATTAAATATCAGCGCCATAAGCACAGCGCTTCATGTTTAAGGGAACTACGAGGCCAACAATTCTGCCGTTTTGATATGCCATACCCACCAATGCCTGAAACTCTGTTTTTGTATCCGTTTGAAGAAAACGAAACCAACGTTAAAGAGCATAAAGAAATATTTAAGAAAGTTAAAGAGCTTTTAAAGACTGTTTCCGAAGAAGAATCGGCCATGTTTAATAATTTTGAATATTTCCTCAGCCATCTTGAAATCTCATATGAGGAATACAAGTTCGCCATTCGTTCTAGCTTAAAAAAGCCCCAAGTATTTCTTCGACGTCAGTTTTCTGATAGGTTGCTGAATGCTTATAATAGAAATATTTTAGGCTTGCATAGAGCTAACATGGATATTCAATTTATCCTAGATGCTTACGCCGGTTGTAGTTATATTATTAATTACATAAACAAATCAAACCGTGGTGTGTCGCAACTGCTTCGAGAAGCAATGACAGAAATGACCCATGGAAATATTTCCGTCAAATATTAACGCTACAGAAATTTCTGCCAAAGAAGCAGCAACAACACTTTAGGGCTACACATGTCTAAGGCTAGTGAAGGAAATATTTTTATCAACACTTGCCATCCAGATAACAGAGAATTAGAACAGCTTCCCGAAAACTCAACAGATATTTTTGAGCGAAATTTACTTGATCGATACGTGCAAAGACATGAACAACTAGAGTCGTTATATCTTGCGGAATTTGCGGCTTGGTTCAAATTCTCCAAGCCAAATGCACGATCGGAATAGTCAAACGAAGAATATGACGACTTTGATGCAGGCGAAGAAAATAAAGTTTCTGAACAAAGTTACCAAATGCTGGATGGGATTGGAAGTGTCAAAAGACGTAACCATGCCCAAATTCTTAGGTGGGTTCGCCGGCATTGGCATTAGCCGTACCCGACGTCGGACAAAACTTAACAGTACTCCAAGATGGCAATGCTGCAAATAATCCAGAAGATGGCGAAATTCTTCTTATTAGACTTCCCCCGATGCTCGCTTACCCGGTCTCTCAACTTTCAACAACGCCAGTATTACGCTCACATAATGCACAATGTTGCAGCCAAAAAAACATTTTATGAATAGGAGTGGGAAAAAGCAGATTGATTTCTACAATATTTCAGTCTATAACTTGGCGGGCAAATAAACTCCCTGGGGCAACAGATTCTGCAAAGGTGTTACTTTGTGCTCTTACTGGAAAAGCAGCTTTTGGAACTGGGGGACTAACGCTTCATTCAGTTGTCTCCCTTCCTGTTAATCAATCATCTGGTCCCTTAAGACTCTTAAGCAATGACACTTTAAATACAATGCATTGCAAGTTGATTGATATCCAATTAATTATTATATATGAGATTTCCATGGTCGGGTCGAAAGGGCTTGGATTTTTAGATCAAGCTTAGCCCGGTTGGAGATCATTGGATATTCGCAGGGGATGCATCCAATCCCTATAATGTTCTGGCAGGAGCAAGTCTTTGGAATAATTTTAAGTTTTTTGAGCTAACGGAAATAATGCGGCAACGTGACGACCACGCTTTTGCTTTGGCTTTGAATAATATGTCTGAAGCCAACATGTCAGATGCAGATATTGAGCTTTTCAAGACAAGAGTTCTTTCAGTAACCGATGTTCCCGACGACGCAATTCATTTATTCGGTTCTAATGCTGAGGTAAACGATTACAACTCCCTTAATTAGGACTTAAGAATTTGTGTCAACTGCAGTAGATACAGTTAAAGCAGCTAATATGTCTGAAAACATTCGAGAATCAACTCTTAGACGTGCCCAAAACATGAAGACCTCTGAAACTCAGAGACTACCATATATTTTACACCTGAAGACAACAGCAAAATATATGGTTACCGTCAATATTGACACAAATGACGGACTTGTAAATGGGGCAACTGGTCAATTAATGGTTAACGGCTCATTATTAGTTACTGGACTGTGGATTAAGTTTACAGATTCCACTGTCGGTACTATAGCTAGGTCAAAAGTTCGAGGAAATGATCACCTAGACTGGACTCCAATTTATAAAACAGCCCGAGTATTCCAATGCGGGACTTCGGCGCATTCCTCTATTGATCGAAAACAATTTCCAGTTGTTCCTGCTGAGGCTATTACCATCCATAAGAGCCAAGGATCAACCTACAGCAAAGTCGCAGTGCATCTTAAAAGAGGCATTAAGCGAGCACTGCTCTACGTAGGTTGCAGCAGAGCAACTAGCGCATCGGGTCTTTTCCTTTTAGGAGACTTTGTCCCTCCAACTAGTTTTGGAGCTACAAATGTCCAAGAAGAACTTGCAAGTTTAAGAGGGGAAAAGGCTTTGACTACGCAATATGAATTTTTGGTCAATGAAAATGAGGATATCTCTTTATATTACCACAACGTGGAATCTCTTCGCGCTCATCGCGAAGATGTTGCCAACGACAACATTATTTGTTCTGCGAACTTTTTATGTTTTGTTAAAACCTGGACTCTTCCACAAGAAGAGTACAATTTAAGGGATTTCGACATTATAAAAAGAATTGATAGCAATCGTTTGAATGGTCTTGGGAAGAACGGAATACTAATTTATGCTAAGCAAAACATTTCGCAAAATGTAGTATTTCTTTTTGAGACAAAGAAGTCTCTAAATCCAAGGGCAACGTATCAATCGATTGCATTTAATTATCTTGACACGTCATTTATAATTGTTTATAGGAGTCCCGGATTTCCCATTGCAAGATTTCGAAATGAAATTAAATCTGACGTATCAAGGTGAAAAACAGAAATACTAAAAAACAAAATAATAATTCTAAAATGCGGCTAATATCCAGCTGATTTTGTGGATGCTTTTTATTAAATTAGAAGACAAGAAACAAAGCATCAACATCGCCTCACATAAATATTTGTTTCCCTTTGTTTTTGTTTTTGTCAGGTCGTAGATCTTCACTTTAAATAACACAAAATATTTCCTTTTCTTAATTAAAAAATGTACAAAAAATTTAACTTTTTTTTGACTTTTTATTCTTTGCTATCTTATCTTAAGCAATAACACTTAGAATGCATTTAATCTTTTTCTTTTGCATGCTTCTTTACGGCCCATTAATTGACTCTTTGCCGTAAGTCATTTAAGTTATAGTGTAGCTGAGGTGGTTAGTGTTGCACGTATATGCAACGTAACCTGTTGGTCGTGGGTTCAGGCCCACATCAGTTCTTTCCAAAATTGATGTTGGCATTATTATACCCGTTACTCGTAGAGTAAAAGGGTATACTAGATTCGTGCAAAAGTATGTAACAGCTAGAAGGAAGCGTTTCCGACCCCATAAAGTATATATATTCTTGATCAGGGTCACTAGCCGAGTCGGTCTAGCCATGTCCGTCTGTCCGTCTGTCTGTCTGTCTGTCTGTCTGTCTGTCCGTCTGTCCGTCTGTATGAATATTCCCACACATATTCTTTGGCTTCCTACGCAGCGCAAGTTTATTTTAGCCGAGCGCCACGCCCCCTCTAACGCCCACAATCGCCCACTAACGATTTTAAAATGGGTCCTGCGCCCACATCTTTAAAGATTTCCGAGAAGTATAAATGCAATTTTGTTGTGTATATTTATACCTATCGAAATGTTGAAGACATTTTTCAAATCGGACCATTCATTAAAAAGTTATACGATTTATAAATTGTCAACATATATCTATCTCCCTCGCACTCCCTTTAGCTGAGTTACGATTATTAGTCGGGACACCAACCCGACACAGCGTTCGCACTCCCTTTAGCGGAGTGACGGGTATTAGATAGTCGGGACACCAACCCGACTATAGCGTTCTCTCTTGTTTTTTTTTTTACTTTGTAAAACTGTTTTTATGTGCCATCCAAATATTACGTAATCAATTAATGCTTGAGAAGGGAGAGTGGGGGTTGGCTTTGTCAGCCAAATGATATCTTATTAGAAAAAAAGGATTACATGGTGGACCATGTTTTTGGGGGTCCAAAAGCGTCAAAATTATTATAACGTTATACATGGGCCTATACTTCATTTTACAATACTTTTTTTTTCTGTTCGTCTTTTTTACTTCTTTGGTGGAGTGCAGCTGCACATACCT